CCAAGGAGATCATTGTAGATTTCCGGAAGAGGGGTCATAACAACCATCTGCCTCTCTTCATTGGCAGTGAGGCGGTGGAGAGGGTGAGCAGTTTTAAATTCTTGGGGGTAACTGTGACCGAGGACCTGTCCTGGGGCAACCATATCACCTCAGTTGTACGGAAGGCCCAACAGCGCCTCTACTACCTGAGGAGACTGCGGAGCGCACACATTCCCAGATCTCTGATGTTGAACTTCTACAACTGTGCCATCAGCAGCGTTCTGACGTATGGATTTCTAGTGTGGTTCCCCAGCTGCACCAAGGCCGATCAGCAAGCACTCCAGCGGGTGGTGAAAGAAGCTGGCAGAATTATTGGAACAAGTCTGCCAGAGATCAGTAATATCTTCCCCACTCGCTGTCTGAGGAGGGTGCACAGTATCCTGCGGGACCAACATCACCCTGCGCGCCACATTTTCCATCTGCTGCCCTCAGGGAGAAGGTACAGGTCTATACAGGCCAGAACATCCAGACTGGCCAACAGCCTGTATCCACAGGCTGTGAGGCTCCTGAACTCTCTGCCCCCTCTCACGGACAATAACCATATCCAACTTCTTAATAGCAATGAACTGGTCTGCATTGGTGCATCATATCTTTATTCTCTTCCCCCTCCTGCCCCCCCCCCCCCCCCCTCTTTCTTAAATAGATAACTATCATATCTGATATCATATCTCACAGTACAATAATATTGAATGGGTTGCATTGTTGTACTTTGTCATGTTTCTCAGGTCTTTGTCTGAATTTCTACGAACATTATTGCTAAGGATTGTCTTATTCCATTGGAGTCACACTGGGTTAAATATGTACACTTGGGTTTTAAGGGGTATTTATTATTTTCTTCTTTTTTTGGGTTGTATGGAAGCCCCAAACGCAATTTCATTGTTCTTGACAATGACAATAAATAAATACTACTACTAAAATAAATAAAGTCAAAGACTCAGCAGTCCTGTTGCTCTATTTTCACCTGTAAAGCAGGAGTGGGGTAGGCGGAGGTTTACCCTGGTGCAGGTGTGCTGCGGTCAGTGGAAGAATCCGCGAGTTTCTCTGTGAGTTTCCCATTACGTCGTAGCTACTCGGTGCTTGTTGGAAGTTTAGGGGTTTTTTTCGCTGTAAAAAGAAGTTTTCTTCCCACGCACAGCGGACACTAATGTTTTTGTCACTTTTTATGGAATCAAACTCAAAGTAAGGTCAGTACTTCCACGCTTTAAACGCTGCACGCTCATACTCTCTCTGCACTCGATATGTGATCCATTGTTGATCTGCACACAGCTGTTGTCACCAGTGTTGGTCAAGTTACTTGAAAAAAGTAATCAGTAACTAATTACTGATTACTCCCCCAAAAAGTAATCCCGTTACTTTACTGATGACTTATTTTCAAAAGTAATTAATTACTTAGTTACTTAGTTACTTAGTTACTTTTTAAAAACACGATTTACAACCTGAAGAGGTGATAAAGTGATAGATCTTTCAGCCCAATTCTACTTTTTCTACATAATCCATCATACAAAATGTAATCAGATGGAAAAGTCTCTTTTTTAAACTTGTTTTATCAGTTTTAATCTTTTAACTTTATGCATCAAGCAAACATTTAATTATATGCAACATTCTCTGACTTGAAGAAATTAGTTTAACATTTAAACCTATTTTCTACACATTCCAGCACATAAAATAAAATATTTTTTGTGTTTACACTCACTCTTTCAAACAGATGCAAGTAAAACACAGCAGAAAATAAATAAAGTCAAAGACTAGCGGTGCTGTTGCTCTATTTTCACCTGTAAAGCAGGAGTGGGGTAGGCGGAGGTTTACCCTGGTGTAGGTGTGCTGCGGTCAGTTGAAGAATCTGCGCGAGTGTCTCTCTGAGTTTCCCATTACGTCGTAGCTACTCGGTGCTTGTTGGAAGTTTAGGGGTTTTTTCGCTGTAAAAAGAAGTTTTCTTCCCACGCACAGCGGACGCTAATGTTTTTGTCACTTTTTATGGAATCAAACTCAAAGTAAGGTCAGTACTTCCACGCTTTAAACGCTGCACGCTCATACTCTCTCTGCACTCGATATATGATCCATTGTTGATCTGCACACAGCTGCTGTCACCAACGTCGCACTCGCTTACGTCACTGTCATGAGACATTCTCGCAAAAAAAATCACGGTTTTAGTAACGCAGTAACGCAGCGTTCCTACGGGAAAGTAACGGTAATCTAATTACCGATTTTGCAATAGTAATCCCTTACTTTACTCGTTACTTGAAAAAAGTAATCAGATTACAGTAACGCGTTACAAGTAACGCGTTACTGCCCATCTCTGGTTGTCACGAACGTCGCACTCGCTTACGTCACTGTCATGAGACATTCTCGCAAAAAATCACGATTTTAGTAACGCAGTAACGCAGCGTTCCTACGGGAAAGTAACGGTAATCTAATTACTGTTTTTGCAATAGTAATCCCTTACTTTACTTGTTAGTCAAAAAAAGTAATCGGATTACAGTAACACGTTACTGCCCATCTCTGCTCACAAATGACCTTTCTCCGGCTCTTCCTGCAGCCTCTCAGTCCTTCGTGTCTGAATCTTAAACTCTGAACTGAAGGAAACCCGACTGTTTCACCTCATCCGAGCCTTTTCTTCTGTTCTGAAAGCTGGCGAGGCCTGGCTATTCCTAGTGGGCTCATCACCTTGCAGGTGGCCCAGAGACTTGACCACCTACTCTACCCTGACCAGCTGACATCTGCGACGAGGTGTGGTCAGATTTAAAACTGAATATTCAGAGCCCAAACGCCTGGGATTCGTTTTATGCATGTTTCTCCTCTTATTTGAGAGTTTGGAGATGTGAAAATAAAAATATGCACAGCTGTAACAGTGATACAAACACAAAGGAAGCATTGTAAGCACACGTTAGCTAACCAGCAGACTGGTGTTACCCACAGAGTTATAATCATAAAAAAAATCCCCCCCTCGTGTCTGGCAGCTCTGACGAGGCGTCTCGCATTAGCTTAATTTACTGAAAGTGCCTCTAAAGCTGAACGAATGTTAATGGAGCCTGAAAGAGGGCAGTGAGGGTCCAAAGAGGAGAACTCCATAAAACTAAAATCCCTCAGCATGTTTTTGTTCAGAGTTAGGAAACCAACCAAAGCTCTGTTACTTAAAAATATTTGTGGTTTCGCAGAATTCTCACCGGGGCTAAAATCTGATATCGGTAGTCGCCACTGAAAACAAACAACATAAATTACGGAGTATTGTTAATGCACCGAGGACATAAACTGGCTCAAACATCAGGTCGGTGCAGCCAGAGACAGCAGCAGGAGTCTGGGCTGATTCGGTCTCTGTGCTGAAGGTGGTTCAAAACCAGGAAGTGATTATGTTAGTAACAGGAAACTGACATGAACCTAATGACAGGACAGGGGAAGTGAAACTAAATACATTGAACAAAGAACACAAAACTCCTTCAAAATAAAACAGGAAACATGGAGAAAAAATACAATAATCAACAAAATAAAACTAAAATGTCTTGGTACTGGGTCGCACCGTGACATTTTTCTTCCTGTGCAATCGACTGGAGGGCAGACAATGGAGCACTACAGCAATACAGCTTTTGAAGAGCGGAGATGTGGACGTTACTTTTATTTTTATTGCACAACAGGACAAGAGTGTGACAGTAAAATTGGACAGAAGCTGCTAACACAGCTTTGGTCTTTGCAAGTGTCTGCACAGACAGCATGCTAACGCTAAGCTAGCCAAGAACCCAGACTGGTGTTAGAGCTGAGCGCACGCCGACCCGAGCCCGCAGCCTGAGCGACGAGCACGCAGCCTCCGTTTCTACCTGTTCGTGTTTGTAGAGTCGTCTGCTGGTTTTCAACTTTGCTTTGTGCGTTTTAAGTTCAGACGTAAACACTAAGACAAAGATGTGAATCAGGCGGCTGGTGTGGATATTGATGCAGTGCCATAGCAGCGGATTTCAGGGCGAATGGTTAGTATTTAAAATGCATGTGTTTGTCCCAGGCAGTAAAAACATGAAAGTGCTGAAGTATCATTTGATTTTTGTGTTTTACTCGAACGCAGGCATTTCACCAGAAATTACATTTCTGTTGCAGGGGAGGACTGCAAGACCGTCCACAGAACCACGCGGGCCTGGTTCTAATCTAGGACCACATGAACACTGACATGTTGCTTTTTATGTTTTCCTTTTGAACACTGGAGCAGCTTTTTCAGCACTTTTTAATGTGAGAAAACCACTTTTGACTTGTTTGTTTGCATTTTCTCTCACAATGTTCCCAATGTGAGAGAAAATCAAACAGCAAACTCGAAGGGCTCAGAACTAAAACCGATAGTTATCTGCAGGAAACTCCTCATTATGGATTTGTTGCAGTAACATCCTGGAGAAAGCCGGAGCTAAAGCTAATTATGTAATTACTTCCTGTCACAACTTAAACTAAGCAGCAACAGATGAAAACCACAGAGGATCAGAGACGACCCAACATCAGCTTCAGCCACCAATAAAACTCCACAATCAGCTCCCAAACCAACAAACGTCACCGCAGCAGTGGAGGAGGTGAATCCCTCTGAGGCGAGATTAAAGCACCAAAGAAGAAGAACAAAGATTCGAGCATCTGTGATGAAATGTTAATTAAACACTGAAGGTTTCACAGCTTATTTCAGGTGTCAGTGTATGTGTGCAGTGAATCAGCTGCGAGGTGCAAGGAGAAACCAAACAGATGTCACATGTTTACGAACACTCATGGCCAAGGATAGAAGTGACGAGACTATGGCCTGTATTTGTATAGCGCTATAGTATCAGGAGGCAGCCTGGGATCAAACCACTGACCTTCTGACGAGTGGCTGCCCTGCTCTGCCACCTGAGCCACAGCCAGAAATTAGAAAATATATTCAGTTTTTTAAATTTTTACAGTTCGGTAACTGACTTTTCTTCTTCTTTATTAAACGTTTAAGCAGGATTTTAAACATAAATCACTACCTGGCAGAGAGTCGGCGCTTGGCTCAAGGACACTTCAGCTGGATGACGGGTGGTCAGGAGACTCTGATGATCCTGGATCGCAAAAACAAACAAAGAAGAGTCAGCATCAGCAACCAGCAGCTTCACCCGTAGCGCTGCCTCGACATGCCAAACGCTCACTCGCAGGAGGAACTCTGGGTTTATCTAATTAACCTCGTTTTGTTTAGACATCTGTTCAATGAGGCGCTGCAGCTGCACGCAGAGCTGTGTCTACAACACATTTCCATCATGCAGTTAACAGCTTGACTTCAGATTTGGTTTCCGCTTTGGTCAAAGGGCCATCTAACGTGTAACTTCAGACAAAGCTGTGAGGTCAGCTGATCTCGTTTCCAGATGTCATTAGCTGATGAATTTCGTCGGATTCAGTTTGAAAGATTTTTGCTGGATGTTACATCAAAGCTGCTTTCCCCTGCGTACAGTTGCTGCACAGCTGCAAACCACCTTTTATGCTGTGTCAGACTGATGTTGCTCTGTTCTGGGATTAAAGCTGCCCCGTTTGAAGTGCAGGTATTCCCTCATGTTCTGTCAAAGGAAACCATTGCTAATTTACATGTGTGGGAAGCTACAAATGTTCAGATTGTAAGGCAAACAAATCAAAAACAAAACAGCGTTTGGTTTCCTTGTCTTGATGTGGTCGACTCTGAGGTTTATTTGAAGTGCCAGTACCCTTTCCTCTGTCATTTTAAAGTACAGACAGTGTCACGTGTCTGTTGTTCTAGTAACAGCACAGTCACAGAAACTGTAGAGCAGCTGAAGTCCGTTACACTTAGGGTTAGGGCAGAGTGGTTTACCAAAAGGACTTCACAGGTGTTCCTGTGGTTTGCAGCAGGGGCGCTAATGAAACATTAGCAGAGAAGACGTAGCAGCTGGACCTCTGGATCCTGTTTCAAATCACAACAACAGTTGCTTTATATTGTGAGGTTGACCCAACAATCATATGACTCCCTATGAGCAAGCATTTTGGCGACAGTGGGAAGGAAAAACTCCCTTTTAACAGGAAGAAACCTCGGACAGAATCAGGTTCGGGGAGGGGCGGGGCCATAACATGGCTGCTGTGAAGTCACTGTGCTAACAGACCATCCAAGAAGGCGGAGCTCCGGTTTTGCAGAGTAAAAATCTGAACACTAATCAGCAGGAACCTGTTTTTGTGTGACGCTCCCAGCTTGAGAATTAAGCTACACAGCAAAATCTCCAGTGTTAAATTAACACTAGAGTGTCTATATGGGTCCACTCCTCTGAGTGTTAAATACAACACTGTTGAGTGTTAAATTTACATTTTTGACAGTGTTATATGTTTAAAAGTAACCTAGTCAGTTTTGAAGATTAACAAAGGCTAACACTGAGCAGTGCTGATCTTCTAACACTGGAAAATAACTCAAGGTGTTAGAAATATTCCCGTGTGATGTTCCAGCTCACATCCGATGCTGGTATATGACAAGAAGTCATGAAAAGCACACTAGGTCCACTTTGTCTCTTTGGTGGACCTTCATGTTAAACATGACTGTTTCCAACACTGAGCTCAGTGCTTGCATTCTGCTTTCATGGCACAGAAGCCACACCCACCTCAAGCCCTCTGTTTTTCAGGGGCAGCCAATCAGAAGAAAGGTGAGAACAGCTGTAGCCCAGTGTGAGATAAAGAAGGCTCATTTTGGACAGCTAATCATGCAAAGCTGCTGAGTCCTAGAATCAAAGTACAGATTATGGCGCACTGACGAGATTTCCATTCATGTGAGGATGAATCCATCAGACGGGGCACTGCATAACCACTTTTCAGTTTTTGCTTCACCTTCCAAAGCTGCTGCTGATCCATCAGTCTCACATGTGTACACAGAAAATACACAAAACCAAAGGAGCTTCCTGCTGCGAGGCCAGCGTCCTGCCCGAGAGCAGATAAACAGGAAAAAATAAATCAGATGTGAGCGGAGGAGTGGCGTGTCTGCAGGGACGTCTCCGCTTCCCCCAAACACACTCAACATGTACACGAAAGCCTCCATCGCACCTGCTCGGCTCATCTGCTCTCAGGCGACTGCCGGGACGACGAGGTCTTTCCTAATTTGGCATCTCGATGTATGCTCCAGGACAAACTGTCATCGGTGCCTCTCGAACTGTCGCTGAGTTTGTACCTGGAGCTTTTTTAGATTCTAATTATTTAACACATGTAAGTGGCACAAAAAGGTCCCAAGAAGGCAGGAGGGTTATTAAAGCAGCAGAAAATTAAAGAACACAACATGTCTGTATGTCCGTGCCATCAGCTGATGCTCTGTGAATATAACACAGGCCAGATGCAAAAACTGAGCCAGCGAGAGTCACATCCTCCCATCATAACAGAGCAGAGCCCGATGCACAAGTTTCAGCTCAGAACATCAGCAGATGTTAAAAAGACTCCAAAGGTCCATGTCCTCCAGTAAGAAACTCGCTCACGGTTTCTGTTCATGCGCCAAAACTAAAGCATTATGAGACCCTGGCGGCGGCGGCTGCTGGGTTCATGTTTCCCAGAATAAAACAATGAAAGTTGGACAGATTCAACTATGGTGAAAACTCCCACTTCATAATCCCTCCAAGTGGGATGATTACACGTACAAGTATGATTGTGTTTCTTTAGTGAGACAGTGAATGTGCCTCACACCGTGTCACATGATGCAGTGGGAGGCATTCGTGAATCATGACCAGCTGACAAACTGATTTAGTTTCGAGAACACTCAGGAGCTCAGATCAGACCCGGGCCCAGCCCGCTCCCCGTACAGGTCTCGTTTTACTATCAAACACATGCATCAATGTAAATATCACCATATCACGTTAAATTTTATAATTATTTTAAATTCAAAATAGAGTATTTAAAAGTAGAATGGGAGGCAGAGCCTTCGGTTTTCAGGCCCCTCTTCTGTGGAACCAGCTTCCAGTTTGGATTCAGGTGACAGACACCATCTCCACAGCCTCCACTTTCTACTGCTAGTGACCACACAGGTCGTCCGACGGGAGGAAAGCTGTCCTTAAACCCAAGCTGTTCAGCTCAGATTGGATCGTTCTGCAGAGGCTACGTCACTGTTTGTGGAGGAATTTCTGAATTTGTGCTGTTTATCACAGCCCACCGAGACGAGAGCAGACACACACACACACACACACACACACACACACACACACACACACACACACACACACACACACACACACACACACTCGTATGGCTCACAGGAGGGGATCTAAGCTATAAAATGAGCAGGTCATACATGGCTGCAGTCGACAGTGTGGGCGTGTCCATCGTTGTGGGTGTGGTGTGTCAGATCAGTGTCATAAACTGATTTTAATAAGCTGACGAGTGGAATACAGTGGAAACCCCCACCCTCAGTTTTCAGAATAAAAGCTTTCTTAAACGTCACTCAGAGGCCACGCCCCTATTAATGCAAATTTGCATGCTTGCATAAATAAAATCTTTCAGAAGAGGCTGAGAGCATCGAGAAAATGCTGGAGAGCGGTGCTGATTCTGGAATGTTCTCCTGGAGCTGAGGGGACCTCACTGACGCACTGCAGACACATTTTAGGCTCTTATATGATGAAACTGCAGAGCTTTTTAGGCGCCATCCAAAGACTGAAATGGAAACCAGAGGAGCTGCAGATGGAGAGGATGGGGGCTCACAGTATGGAAGTTCAACAGTGACAAAAACACGACACAAACCTGCAGAGAAACTAATCTTTGTTTTACAGATGTCAGCTTTTATCAGCGTCATTTGTCCTGTTTTCAATATTAGTCTACAGATACGAACACATTAACCACACAGCACAGCTTCAACTCGAAGCTTTTACATTCACAGCTCAGCAGTTAGAGCTCTGAGATCCCACAGCGTCCATGAATGTCTGCATCTTCGCGAGGGCCTGCAGAGCCTCGGCACGCGGCGAGACTCGCACGGCCATCCTCATCCTTAAAACAGTTTGACTTCCTCTCCAACACATTTGTTTGATTATTATTTGATTATCTGAACTTTGTCTGTTTCTGGTGTTTTTCAGTGGACATTAAGCTCGATGTTACTCAAAGGCAGTGACTCAATTTTAAATACACTTAGTCATTGAGGGCTAGCAGGAGGGACCATGCGCTTACCTGCTGCTCCTTGGCAGGTAGCTCCATGCCCTCCTGGGTTTTAATTGCACCTTAGAACACATATGCATCAACACTACAATGAGCGGGTGGAGGGAGGTTTGGAGTCTTCTCCCACCCCCATTCTCTGCGGCCTGCTGGAGCGGGGGGGCTAGTAGGAGGAGTTGGCCGTCCGACTGCGGTCTGGGGTGTGGGGCCTCCCTGCTGCTGCGGAGTCGGGGTGGTCTGCCTCTCCCCACCGCAGGGAAAAGGGTAACACCACCTGGGTCTGGGTGCAATTCCCCCTCCAGGGGCAAGGGTACCTAGACCCGGTTTGTAGAGTACGCTTGGGGAGTGTGATTGTGTGTACAGCGTCTCTTTATGTCTGTCTCCACGTTGGTTGAGTGTGGAGTGAGTGCATATGAGAGCATGAGGGTGGGAATGGATGTTTGTGTCTGTGTGTGCCTGTATGTCTGTGTCTATATGTCAGGTTGGGTATCAGACGCCACCTCTCTGGGGACACCTCAGGCCCTCCAAGGTTTGGAGGCCTATCTCCACCCACCACCACTTCCCCTGCCGGTGGCGGACTCCCTCAGGTGTCGGTGTGTTGGTGGTTCTTTGTGTCTGGGGGTGGGCGTCCGGGTACACACCGGCTCACTCCTTGGCGGCCGCTTGTCGGGGCCTGGGGCCTGGGGCTCGCTCGGGCCCCTTTGGAGGTGGGGTGCCCCCGGCCTCTCGGCCTAGGGCTCGGTCACTCAGGCGCAGCTGGGGGCCGGCGGAGCTCACGGGCGCGTCACTGCAACCCCCCCTGGCTTCTGCTCCGCGGCTGCTGAGTGAGCCCTCATCTGGGACTCTCCTCAGCTCTTACTGGAACAGTGGCGCGGCTGCCCCTCTGTTGGTCTTCCATGGTCTCTTGTGTTCTGGGGTCCTCTGGATGTCTGGAGTTTTGATCTCCTCCATACCCGCTTCACACCCTGGAGGACGGGGCTGTGGCCCCCCCACACTCCCTAGCAGATCATTACATGGAGAAACCTTTGGAATGCAAGCATGCTGATCCACACAGGTATGCACACATGGGTATTCACAGACGCGGACTAAAGCTTTCTTGGCTGCTGCCTCAAAGCACACTGTGCGCTGTCTATCTTGCGTGCTGCACAATATCGTTTATTACTTAGTAAATATTGATATCTATGACTAGCTAGTTTATTGTGATGGTGCTTTGTTTTCTCTATTATTATGTTGCTCTTTGTTGTTTGCTGTCTCCTCTGTTTGTTTGTTTGTTTGTTTTTTCTCCATACAGGTGACCCAGGAGTTTTTTTTTTTTTTTTTTTTCTCTCTTCCCCCCCCTTCTCACCGTCTCTTCTCCCCTTGGGTTTTCTTTCTTTCTCTCCCCCTCTCTCTCTCATTCATTCCCCCTGTCCTATTTATTAAAAAAAAAAAAAAAAAAAAATGACAAAGGATGAACTGAAGCTCTGCCATCACGTAATGTCGCATACTGCTGTTTCTGATGTCATTTAAAAAAAAAAAAAAAAAAAAAAAAAAAAAAAAAAAAAGGCAGTGACTTGTGTTTGTCTCCTACCCCAGATTAATCCTCAGATTAATGCTGGGATGGATTTCATGACTCCTGGCTGAGAGGAGGACCCACTAACTTTCATCAATAAATTAAAAACCAAACAAACTTAAGTGCGATCTTGGTGGTGTAGGCAATATTCAAATGAGCTCACGTCAGGGGACCCAAATGAAGGTAACTGAAATAACACCTCACAGAATGATAAGAAATGTTTTCATTTTATATTTTGTGTCTGTCTGTAACAGACGGTCACATCTTAACATGTTTAAATATTTTAACTGATGTGTTTTGTGTCCTTTTAAATAATAAAAATCTCATAAAACTTGTGCAAATGTTGTTTTCTCAGAAATCTGTTTTTAGCGTCTTCATCCCAAAGATAAGTTCAGGATGTTTGAAACAGAGGAATCGATCAGAAATAAGGTTGTGTTTAAAAACAAAATCTATTTCCTGATTCAAATCGATTTTGGTCTGAATAAAGTGATCTCGATTCATTAAATCCTGGATTTAAATATAAATGTAATTAATCAGAAACTCCAGAATCAGCTCAACCAGGAGATGAGAGCAGAAACACAGAGCGTGGATCGTCCACAGAGCGTGGATCGTCCACAGAGCGTGGATCGTCCACAGAGCGTGGATCGTCCACAGCCGTCGGGGCTGAAACACAATGATTGCTCAGCTGTGATCGAACCTCTGTGACTCTGCTTCACTTCAGCAGCATCAGGTTGCTTCAGTCTTTGATCGACTGCAGAAGAGTTTGAAGCTTCTCTGCTATAAAAAGCCAGAACAGGAGAACCTGCTTCATGTTTTATCCTCAGTTACTTTGACACAAAGACGTCTGCGGTGATGCTCACACCTCTGATGGAGCCTCACAGCGTCAGCTTTGTCTTATACATGGATACGTGCTGATAAACGATCAGAGTTTTTCACACTCGATGATAGAAATCGGTGAGGACACCCAGCCCTAATCAGAAAGTATTGATCGTCCATGCATTCTGGCTCTGACTCCACCCGAGCCTCCAGCAAACTTTTCTCATGCAGTAAAAGCTAACAGCTGAAAAGTTGACTCTGAGTTTGATTGTGATAAAAACTAAACTGATGTCCTTGCCAAACAGTTTCTGCTTGAAATGAAAAAGCACTTTAGATTTTGGACGTTAGAGCATTTGAGACATTTCAGAGTCAGCAGTATTCAGATGAAGCCACAGTCACACTGCAGCACCGCAGGCTGAGGCTAACAAAGACTCTACAAACCACAAAACCCAACCAGCAATAAAAAACTGCACCTCATCGCGTCTCAGTGATGAACCACAAAGTAAAACATCTGAACGACTGTCTCTGACTAAAAATCAAACAATCATCACAAAAACTGCTGCAGGAAAAAAAACTTTGCACATTCTGTGCATTAAAAAGCCTCCATAGCCTCATTTACCTCACAGATGAAATGCAAACAAAGCACTTTAAATGCATCAGCTCCTGTTAGTCTTTGCATGAATAATAATCAGCAATAGGAATGAATCATTTCCCACACTTGTCGTCCTTTACAGGAAACATTCATAGCTAAGCGTCACCTTTCTACTGTCTGACACAACATTCATGTTCAAACTGAAATAAATGAATTCACAGGTTAAAACTGAGGAGTTTCTGAACCAATGAAAACTGCACAGAGAAGCTGCATGAACATCAGCCTCTGAATCAATCACTACCTGCTCCTTTCCCCCAGATAAATCGCTGCAGCCATCCTACCCATGCACAGGCTGCGAGTCACTTACAGATGTGCCGCTCTGCGTCCGTGCCCTCCACACATACAGCACACGAGTGGTTAGCCATATAGGGAGCTGTAACTTTTTCTGTAGGAAACGCCTTGCTGCTGTCTCCACTCCTCCCACC